CCTACTAACTACTTGTCTTCCCATGCTCATCAGATAAGCATGGTCGACTATTCATGCTGATCTTTACAACATCGGCATAGACCCAATATTCAACATCCATACTAATCAATATAACATCAACGACATCGCCAGCACTACGAAGAAGCAACCTCACCACAGCTATAGAATAATTCCCTCTCTCTCACTTGAAGTAATTATAAAACTGCAATATTGTAATAATTTATAAACTAGAATAAACAATGTCTTAATTCAAAAATATACTTTATACATATTTCAGCCCCTCCACTTGTGTTTTTTCCTACAAATCGCTACATCGAGAGACTAATCCACTGAACTATTGAATTGGCATTTCGAACCACAACACAAACCCTCAATTTCGAACAGATATATATATATATATATATTATCGTATGTCTGCGTGAGTGTGTGAGCACGCGCGTTCGCTTGCAGTTGCACATGTATAAATATTTATTTAATGGAAAATAAAAAATACTTCAGATTTTGTAATAAGATTTAGTATAGAAGTAAATAAAAAAGTTTGCATATACCTTATTTAAAGATATATGTGAAGTTTATATGTAACGAGCGTACTTGCGTTATATGATTTTAGGAAAATTTTCTATTGAGTAATCATCTGACATATGTAGAAGACGGCTTGCAGATTATTTGATTAATTTTTATAGGAATTTTTTCAAATATAGTAAAAGTCGTTACGTAGTAACTTTACAGTATTACTAAATAAAATTAAATGAACGATTAACATAGATATCAAAAGACAAAACGTAATAATAATAAATAAAAAAAATTTGTGTAAAATATAAAAATAGCAAACAAAGTATGTAAGTGAATAATTTATTTTAAAGCAGGAAGGAAAAGAAAATAATTATATACTAAATAGTAATTATAAATATTCTCGATAAATTGACACTCCATTTTTATTGTGGAGTAAATTTATGCGTTTACTTCTCTTAATAAATTATACAATAATTGATATTTTTCTAAATGCTCTTATGTGTAGAAATATTAAAAATTTACTAGTTTATCATAATAAACTACAAACATAAATGGTTCCCTTATTACTTCAAGAATACAATAAAACAATACAAACATCTAATTTTGCTTATTTGACTTTCAATGAATAGATAACGATGCTTCTACTTTTATAATTGCTTTTATATCTTATGTTATTTTGTTATAAATCATATTAAATTTTAAATATAAATTTAAAATGGAAGACTTCTTTTCATTTGAAATAAAAATTCCATGTCATTCGTATTTGTAACTTTATATCCTTGATTCTTAATTAGTTTACAAATCAATAAATACTACGGTGAGTAAAATAAATATAATTATTTGAAAATATATTATATCTAAGACCGTTGTGTATATTCATAAGTAAGAAAAATTCAGTAAAATAATGTCTGGGATCAGACTGAAAACCTCCCGTTGATGGTGGGTGGTGTTGCGAGCAAGTGGAGGAGGCAAATGCAATTATTCAATTCTACACACAGTGTATCTTGTCTTTCCTTTAATATACAACAATAATATAATAATTAGTTAATGGTCATAAAAGCGTATGAATGAAGAGTGTGAGTGAATTATTTTATGAAGTTTTTTCAATTATTTTACGTGCTGGTGAGAGTGTGTATACTCTCGGTAGTGTGAGTTCCTTTCACGAGAAGTGTTGCTGTTGAAGCCGGCGCGTACTAAAGGAACGAGTGAGATGATGCTGCCTTAGTCGCCAGTGTGAGCGTGAGCGCCGCCGCTGTTGGTCTGGTTTTAAGGAACGTACGTGTTGCTGTTACTGCTTACTTAGGCGTGAGGTCCGCCGGTATTGATGTGGTGTAAGGAACGTGCGTGTTACCGTTGCTGCTTACGTCGGCGTGAGGTCCGCCGGTATTTGTATCTAGGTTACGATACGTTGATATATGTTGTAGTTGTTGTTTCGTTAGTTTCACTCTTAATGTATGTTTGCACTGGCGCTTCTTGAATATAGGTTTACGTTTAAGTTTAACGGATTTAATGGTGTGGCGTCACTATTAGGTTTTTTAACTGCTTAATGCTTACGTACGTGAATAGCTACAGTGAATGATGCCTGTAAGGGTAATGCTTAATAGTAAGCCGATCGTAGAGAATGCGTAATTAGTAATAGCAGAAGGAAGATGCACGTCAAGTGCTGCTCTTAAATCTTCTCGTAAGAGCTTGCGACGCCGGTAGCGCACCGGTGTCTGTTGCTATGCCGATCATTATCGTGACATTAGTAGGATGTAGCCTTGGAAGGTTCATCAGCATTGCTATTCGGAATTATAATCGTATATTCGAGTTTTCAGCGTAGGAAATTTCCCGAATTCGCTGACTTTGTTAATAAACGTAAATGTCTGGAAGCATATACCTCTCCGACTTTTGTATTCCGCTTTTAACTACTTCAATCCTGAACAAGTATGTATAATAACATATAATCCTATTAATGAATTCCAAATCCAATAAATTCGTTTTAATTTCATTCGATTACAATTATTATTTTTAAAAATTATAAATAAATAATTAATCAATTTTGAATATCTATTAGATTAAAATTATAACTTAAAAAATGTTTATGCTTAATAAATATTAAAGTCACAGACAACTTGAATGTCCAAAGTATTAAAATTAAATGAAATTGTTCTTGTTCAGTGGATTCTTGGGAAGGACTTAAGTGGAAGGGCTTTAGATTTATACAGTGTGCGCTTCTTCGTTAAATATGGTTTATTATAGTTTATTTACAATTAGATTATTGATGTGTTGGATTTATGTGATGGAAAGATATATACTATGCTCAATCACGACCAATGATTTATTAATTATTCACGATGAATAGTTTACCTACACGTGATCCTCTTTGATGATGATGTTGTTATTGACCTTGAAAGGATCAGCAACTGATTATGTATACTCCTTCTTAGAGTATGCTTTGAGCTATGTTAATAATAGCCTTGGCTAATTATGTAAGTATTAGCAATGATTCTGCTCAGACTTATTTCATTCACAGTGATAGCCTGGACCTGACCCTGTGATGAATGGCTCATTATCGAATGTTCCTTGTTGATAGTGACGCTTTGTTGTTGCTGATCTTGTAAGGATCGCCAATGAATTGTGCACACTCCTTGTGGTAAGGAATATGGCTTGTTATGTTGTTTGTAGTCTGGCTTTTCTTGATATGAACGAGATAGTGTCAATACCATTATTTTTGCAGCACAAGAGAATTGACGCGTCTTCCTTCTTTGATGGCCTTAGATAGAGCTTATTCACTATAGTGTTCCCGGTAAGTATGTAAGCCTGTTTATTCTTTGGTGTTCCCACTAAGAGAGCGCCTTTCAAGGCGGCCCTATTAAGACAGAGCGCTTGCTCGGCGCGTGCCTCCCTTACATATCCACGCGACAGCCTAGTTAATTACTTTGTAATTCTCTCATACTATGTTCTTTTTTATTTGTCTCTTTATCTATATCAAATAAATGTAATTTCAATATTATTAAAACTTGATAAAACTCAAATTTTTATTTCTCCTGTATATTCATTAATAACACGTTTAAAAGTTTATAAAAAGAAAGGGATAATACGACAATTTCAATGACACTCTGAGTATAATAAAATATAAAAATAAAGATTTATATTTTTTTCTATTCATTTTTTATTCTATATTATTCATATTAAAAATCAACTTGATATGTACACGGATATTGAAAATTTTATATTATTTAAAATGGTATTGTTCTTTCTATTTTCTTTTTTGCATAATTTCTTATTTACATTTCAATGTGATGTAAATATTATAAACGTATAATGTATAAAAAAAATTTCTTATTTAAAATATATATTTTGTATTTAATCTATATGTTAAAAAATATTTACTGTTTTAGATCAATAATTTAGTACCATAACAACAATTATAATTTATTTTTAAAATCTTGAGTATACAATTATATTTTATTACCTTTATTAAATTTTATACAATTTTTTTAATTTATTGAAAAAATATTTATTTATTGAGTATATAAAAATGTTATAGTTTATTTATAGTGAAATCATCACATTAAAGATGATTCGAAAATTATTTAAATTTAATTAATTGAAGACCAATTATTTATTTTTATAATTATAGATTTTTTGTAAATTATCATTGAAAAGTTGAAGTTTTTTATGTTTTTAAAATAATATAATTTAATACTGATAGTTACAAGATAATTTTAATTATAAGTTTAAAAATGAGTAACATTGTATATTCCTTAGTAAAATAAATTATCTTTTTAATAATAAAAAAACTTTTCATTATAAATCAGAGTTTTTTTAATTCTTTAAATGTCATATCAGAAAAACGGATTATTTTAAAATTCATTAAGTGAATGAATAGCTATTTTTATTATTATTTTGTGTCACTCTCCCATCTACATATTTTATTTTGAGATCAAAATAAGATAAGCGACTTGTAATTAGAAATAGTTTAAACTAAAATTCATATACGTATGTATATATATATATATATATAAACAATGGATGTACCTCACAGATCAAATTAATATAAAATAAAATTAATAAAATCAAATTAATATTAAATTAATTGCAAAATTAATTATTAATGAACGTTTGCAAAGACGGATACAAGTATCAAACATCTAATGATTTTTAGATTTATTTGTTAACACTTGCATTCTTTGGTAATAAAAGATATCTCGTGCAAAAAAAGCTGCAATCTTTATTTACATGACTTTTATCTTTTAATTATTAATTAATTATTATTAATTATTAATGACTTTTGTATTTCCTTACGAATAATTAACTTATACTTATATAAATTTTATATATGAATCTAGAAAAATGAATGAATGAATAATATTAAAGAAATTTTTTAGAAATATGAAAATATATTTATGAAATTTTAGTACTAATAATACATAATATTATTCAAATATTTTTAATTGAACTTAATAAAAATATTCCTATGATTTAATCTAGTATGTATTACATTTAAATTAACAATATATGTTAACGACCTTTGTTATACATTGTTATCTTCATAGATTAAATTTTGCTGTTATTTAATGCAAATTTATTGCAAAATTAAGATTATAAGTTTCTAGTTCCATAGGTTGTAATGTGATTTGTTGTAACCCATTCTTCAAATATTTATGCACTTTTGTGCCCGTCAACGAAGTTTTTGTAACATTAGATATACTTAATTTGTAAAAAGTTGTATTGGGTAATAGTTTATCATATAATGGGCAGTGTTTGATTAAAATATCAGTTCCAACATTACAACTGTACCCTTGTCTATGAAGTATCATAAGAGCATTATTTATAGGATAATGTGGCATTTTTGGATCATGATTTGTTCTGAGAGTAAGTAAATGCATGTCGCATGGTAAACTTTTACTTAATAATCTCGTTTCTGGTGTTAATTTAATCTCTGCATCTATACCATCGACTACGAATATGTTTACCGGATAATTTAAAGCATTACTCATTTGATTGGCAAACAGCGAGGGCTTAGAATAGCGATCTATCTCTCCTATTACATCTTCCAATAAAAGCCAGTGTTTAATTATTGTTTTTCTATTATCGAGTAGACCTTCACCCATACCTCTTGAATCGTCATATAGAGTTCTACGATCTAACATAACTTCTAACCATCCAGGTTGATAACTTGCCGCGCCTTGTGCATGATTAACTAAAAGTGTAAGTCTATGCGTTGAGTCTTCGATATATGCCATTGAAGTGATTGGAAAATAATTACCCTCAATGCCTATTCTTTCAATCTTCGTGCGTTTAACCATTTGATGACCATTTAAATCAGTATAAAATTCTGGCGGATCACCATTGATAATATCTGTTTGCACACGCATAAACATTTCTGTTTCTCGATTTTTCGGTGGTGTTTCAAAATCTACAATACTTTGTAAATATATCGCTTCAGATAGTGTATCTTCTTTATGGTATATAGATACGTGATGAGATAATAATTTTCCATACTCTACAGTAAGACGAGAACTTAGTGTACCAGATACTATATAAATTTTTTGATGCGGCATATAAGCTTCCAAGATATCTTTATCAGAGTCACGAAGATTTGGATCAGGCATAAAAAGATAGGCTCCACTGTGGAACTGCGCTGAAGTATAGGCGGCAAATTGAATATTACATTGCATAATTCTTCCACTAGGTTTTTTAGTAACACGTTTAAGAAAACCAGTTTGTCCATCAAATAATAGTTTCATTCGCTGATTTTCTAATTGTATATCACCTATCTGCATTGGTTTAATAGGAAAAATATTATCTTTACCACATTTATTACAATAGACTGTAGAAATTACTTCAGCTGAAACTTTATCAGTATGCTGTAAGTGATATATCGTTAGTGTCAATGGTTTCAGATCAGCTATAAAAAGTAGAATATAAACATCATGTGAAATACTTGTAGCATTCATTATAGGTGCTATTTGATAAGGAATAGGAATTTTATGCGAATCTAAAACTCGAATCCGATAAGTCAAAATTTTTAGTTTAATGACTTCTTGGCGCGATTGAGCAACAGAATTAAAAAGAACTATTCTTTTAATTTCATGAGTGTTAACGTTAATTGGAATTTTTTTGGGTAGTTTTTCATAACTGTCACGATCGGATTCGGATAAAACATATACTTGACCCATAGAAGAATTTGTCATAAGTTCAGTTGCAATGAGTGATTGAATAGTAAAACTTTGAAGGCTAATCATGTCTGAAATTGATTCGAACAATTTTAAAGCATAATCTTTCATAACAAATGATTTTGAAGTACCAGTAATCGCATCGTGATGTTGAAAAAGGCCAAGATTTCGACGTGCTTTTACTAATTTTTCAAAATATGTTTCATAGATTTTAATGTCTTTTGCAGATTGCTTAGCAACATTCAATGCTATAGTGTAGAGAAGTTCAGCTGATCGAAGATTAGCCTCTAATTCACGATCTAAAATTTTCATGTATGGTCGGGTTGTAAAATACCCACTCCAATAAGCAGGTCTTCCCTCACTAAATATATCAGAGTAAACAAAAAAGTCGCCTTTCAATGACGGGAAATGGGATGTTCTCTTTAGTATTTCATTAAAATAATCTTTTGGAGTACCAAATATTATCTCGGTATTATAATCATCTTTATGACTGTTTATATAGTCAATTAGAATTTTATAGTTCGAGTATTGTTGGTCCCATTCAATTAGATGATCGTATCTGCAAAAAATTCATTAAATTATCATAATAAAGATGAAATCAAAAAATATAAATTTTAATAAATTAATTTTTCTTATAGTAAAATAAACATCTTTTGATTGTCTTTTAACAATAATAGTAATTGAAAGACATAAAATTTATGATTAATTTCAATTATCTTTAAAGTCAATTATAAATTTTTAAAAAAGTAAAAAATTACTTATATTACTTCTTTATATTACTAAATAAGTAAATGTTTCACCTAAAATCATCTCCTAAAGGTATTAATACAACGTTGTGTGGAAATAATGATCCAGTTTTTAAATATTGCTCAAGTAATTGCTCTGCCATGGCTTTCACATTGTTCGATGTGATATCTACAGCTTTAGCAGAATATTCTGTATACTCATTTCGAATCTTTCGAAAATCATAATTAAGACATACATGTGGATGTGGTCCGCATGAGTGTTTAATATTGTAAATATCGAAAGGTTGGTTGTGAGTGAGTATATCGGAATTACCACTTTGATCCCATGGTTGTACCCATACAAAATCGCCATATTGCTTTTTAGCAAACCATTGTTTCCAAGTATAATGAATTCGTTGTATAACGGTACCAGAAACGCCAGATGCCTTGAGAAGATATGGCACTGTTCCACCGTGACCAAAGGGGTCAACTGCCCAACCATATTTTGGTGTTACATCCAAATTTGTTTTTAACCACTGATGACCTAAAAAATTTTATGATTACACTCTCATGTTGGAATATATGCTTATATTCTATTATTATGATATTAATACAATTGTAATTTTTAATATTTAAATTATATTAAGTTAAAACTATTTTTATAAAGAAAAATAATTTGTCTTGTAAATTTATAAATATATATAATTACATTATATATAATTATATAATACTCAAAATTTGTTGAATTTATTATTTGAGTACAATTTATTATATTGAGTACAATATATTATAATACAATCTTACATTTTATCATACACTGTAAAATAATATAAAAAGGAAATTCAACATTAATTTAAAGCTAAATCTGAAAAACTTAGTTTGTGTAAAACTTGTAATTCATTATGGTGATATAGTCTGATAATTTTTCATTTCATAATCTATTACCTTCGATACACAATGTACAATAGTTCAGTGATAATGTAAATTACAACGTATATTTGTACAAATTTAATGTAATTCATGTAATTATAATTCTGTATTCTTAACTCGTATAAGTTATTTAAAAGAAAAAATGTGCAGGTTTATAAAGTTTGTATCGGAAACTTTTTATACTATCAATTAAAAGAACTGTTATCTTAAATATAATAATCATTATAGCAATTTTATAAGTCTTATTTTAGTTAATGTTATTTAATTGTAAATTTTTATTCAAATAAATAATTTTTACAATTTTCATCTGATTAATGGGTTTATGTCGTTGATTGTTTTATTGCTAAGTGTAATTCAATGTGAATATTAAACTAAAGGCGCACCACCTACACATTCATCACATAATTAGGTAAGACAAATAAAATTACCGAAAAGTCAATTGTAAGGAAAACCATATATTGAAAGTGCAAGAGCGCCAGCCTCGCACTGCTCTGATAAGTATTTTGAATCGCGAAGGTCCTACGAACGGCCAGAAGTGAAGTATACGTCACGGCTATAAGAAGAGATATTAGAACAAGGAGATCCCACGAACGGCCACAAGTAATATATGTCACGGGTATTATACGAAAAGGTACTAGAGATTTACGACCTCTTACTTTTAGTGTAACGATTTACTAACAAGCACACTAGATCAAACATCAGAGGATGTACAACCTCCTACCCCTGCATGTAGTGCATGCTAACGCCACGTGACAATTACCACCAATCTACGAGATCTCACAGACTCTCAACACCATCTTAGAATCATATTCATTGTGTAGTCTGTGAAGAGAAAACCCAAGATACGCTGTGTGATAATATTGTATAAATGTATCTTCCTCTTCCACTTGCCAGCAAATCTCCCACCGAACATCACTGCGAGGTTTTTTAGTCTGATCCCACACATTTTGGTCCTTGGAGCCCGATAAGTGCAAGTCAGAGCATTCCTTCAATACTACTACAACAGGAAAGAAGCTCCACTACATTCATCATATATTGCAATCATACGCAATCAAGTCACCACTCAAGAAATCTCTTTAATACTGTAAGTACCTAACTGTTGCCTTCTCTCTCTATTATCACAAGATATCAACCCAAAAAAAAGAAAGTTTAAGAGTCATCAACCACAAACAAGAACGTATGACTCACAGCACTACCAAGGAAAAATTATCAAATAAGATATAATACAAATGCATAAAATGCATGACAACCATCTATCAGCCCCCAGTCCTCTTTAACCTTATATTAGGATTAACTAGATTAAGTGAGTATTTGCAACATCACATAGACTTTATACACGTGTTATTCACCTACAAGGTGGATGCTGGTACAAGACATTAGTAACCTTTATATAGATGTATTTAAATGAGAATCACCACCTAATCTTAAACTGTCTATAAGAAGTTTGATTGTCGGATTGTAGTGTAATGGACAAATATCAATGGATAAACAAAATTGGAAATATATTGACCACGAGCGCTGCTAATCAAACTATCAGATCAAATCATCACAGATGTTTGAGAATGAGAGACTCCTTTTAGTAAGGCAATAAAATAGTCTGGCAAGTAATATCAAGAAAATTGTATTTAAGACTTCAAAACTTTCCTGCTCATAATTATTTTGCACTAGTGTCATAAAACATCTGGAAAACTCTAGCGAAACGTGCTCATACTCCCAGTGCAGTAGGACTTAATGGGTTTATTACCGGGAGAACCCCAAAAGTAGATTCAGAACTAATATCAGATATGCGTAAAGCATTGAGTACAAATATTTACTGCAACCCAAAACCCATACGTGCGACAACATGCAATGACCATACGTGCGCACCTTTAAGACAATGCTTGCATTGTTCTTGGCTATGCCACAACTGGTCGATCGCATTGGAAAATTGACCACGCCCAAGCGGACCCTTCTTCTAGCCAAGTCCCAGAGAGGAATGAGGCAACCAAGGAGAGGTGACCAATGGAAAAGGCTCGCCACCTTCCGACACTTTCCCGATTAGTAAATTCGGAACTGAGTCCGGAAGGAAGTGGAAACGAAGGCGTGCATAATCTATTGTGCGGCCCAAGATCAACCTCTGATTGGTTAATTAATAAAGGAAGAAGGGATCCCAAGTGGAGCGGGATCAGTGAACCATTTAAGAAGGGACTACGTAATGTTCCTTCACTTACTCTTTCCAAATACTTCTTACAGTATAAGAATAAGTCACGACTTACTCCTTCCAAATACTTCTCACAGTTGAAGGACAAGTCACGACCTACTCTCACGGAGGAGGACCGGAGAGA